TTGCGAGACAAAAAGTCAGAATTTTGAGATAAAAAGTCAGAATTGCGAGACAAAAAGACAGAACTGCGAGAAAAAAGGCAGAATTGTGAGAAAAAAAGGCAGAATTGCGAGCCAAAATTGCAGAATTGTGAGATAAAAAGTCAGAATTGTGAGTTTATATTTCACAATTCTGTGAAAAAAAGTCAGAATTGGGAGATAAAAAGTCAGAATTCTGTGAAAAAAAGTCAGAATTGCGAGACAAAAAGTCAGAATTGTGAGATAAAACGTCAGAATTGTAAGTTTATATCTCACAATTCTGTGAAAAAAAGTCAGAATTGCGAGACAAAAAGTTAGAATCGCGAGAAAAAAACGTCAGAATTGCGAGAAAAAAACGTCAGAATTGCGAGAAAAAAATGTAATTGCGAGTTTATATCTCACAATTCTGTGAAAAAAAAGTCAGAATTGCGAGAAAAAAGGTCAGAATTGTGAGATAAAAAGTCGCAATTACATTTTTTTTATGTTTTATTCAGTGGCGGAAACGGGCTTCCATAGTTAGGAGCTTTATATAGAACCCTAAATTTTGAGTTTCATTTTGAAGTGGGAATAATTTGTTTTCAATTCTGCTTTATCTTTTTATTTTCACTATAGGGCTACCTTTACAATTTCAGTACATGAATAATTAACGAATAATTGAAAAATAAATACCTGCATACATATATCTGATTGTACCAAATTATTCAATCAAATTATTTAGAATTCTACATCTATGAAATAGCTGTCAGATGACAGTAGCCTATAGCTTTGCACAACTGTAGTGGCTGTTACAGTCACCTATCCTTTGGAAATCTCTAATAGAACCATTCCATAGGAATCAGCTCCTCCAATCTTGTTTTAATCTTCATCTTATAAACAGATTAACTCGTTTTTTACTCTGCTTATGTATCACTTAGATTTTATTTGATGGTTGTTGTTTTTTAAAACATCAGTGTTGATAGATGTATGTTTTTATGTGACTGTGAAACTGTTTTGTTTAGAGCAGAATGGATGTCAGACTGCAGGGTTCATATCAACAGGTGGACAAGATATACTAAACTACACATCCATTAACAGACACATTCACGTGTTTCATTTGTTCATCCAACTGATTAAACCACATTCTAGTTGAACTTGTGCTACACTGACCCAAATAAAGGTCAGATCACAACAGGTTTCATTCTGTCTAACTCACAAACTAAACTGGTCAGAGAGCCCTCAAATTTATGAACAA